TCTCTTCTGGTAAAACATCATGTAGGAAACCAGATTACAATAATTAAAAACTCATATTGTTATTTGCAGCATGAGAAAAAAGTATATGAAAATCTGGACAAAGAAAAACCACCTATTTTTGCCAAATGTTAAGGCCCTTTCACATCAAAGGTGAAATGAATAAGCCTCAGGCTGAAGGAAATGCATATTTACTACTGTACAGTAGAGGGCGCCGCTCAAAAAAAACCTTTCAGCTGCTGTTCTGGATTAAATAACAATAGGATGCAGGAGAAGGAAGTTCAACACTCTTATTTCTAAATCTAATCTAAAGTCATTTTTGCTCATCAGTATGGTTGAATTAGATCATTGAAGGTCAGCAGCAAAGACATTGGTTAATAAAGTGAGATTAAATACATAAAGTATATTTGTTAATTATAAAAGTTTTGCGCAAAATTCTGAGATTGAATTTTACTGTTTTTATTCATTTTGAGGAATACTGAATGTTTTCGTGCAAGTGAGATGAGTAAATGCATGTTCAATGCAAATGCACACAACACCTCACTTTATTTCTCTCAACATGGGGACAGGAGAGCTGTCAATCAATAAATGTGAAAAAGTAACTAGTGTTACTTATTTGAAAAAGTAACGCACATATTTTGTTATAAATTGAAAAAGTAATGCGTCAATTTACTAGTTACTTGAAGAAGTAATCTGATTACAAACTCAAATTACTTGTAATAAGTTACCCCAACACTGATGATAGTACAATATAAAACTAATAAGCTATTGATTATAAGCATAAAATATCATTTAAAATTGATGCACACACACAAAAGCATAATACAGGATATACATTTATTATTATTATATAGTTTTGAACAGTCTAAAATGTTCAAATTAGCACCATCAAAAGTGGAAGTTTAAGTACCAATCACATGTGCAACTATTGACATACAGTACTGGAATACACAAGCAATATTCACTATACCTGGAACATGAAGCTGTTGCACCCAATAGTTCTGACAAAAGCAGGTAGATACAATATGTATTAAAGTAACAACAGGTAGCTTTTGCTCTCGGGGTCCCCCTACAGTTGGGAAACAGTATTGTCCTCTACTACTGTCGTAAACTCTGTCATCCTACATGCACGTGCAATTGTTGACAAGCATGATAGCCCTGAACACTGTAGGAGGAGGTCACATGCAGGTGTTCTGCTTGCGTCGCGTGTGAAATGTCTTCATCCCAGGTACAGTGGCATATATTTCAGCATGTCATATGAATATAATTTCATGGGTTTTATTTTTTTTCTAACGACAAATGATTGCGATGCTCACGTTTACAAGCCAGCGTCATTATAGTAGCCTAGTCTATTGGTTACCGTTTTACTGAATCTATATGATACTTCAATGCAATGTTTGAGTGGTTGATAATAACCATATATCGTCAATGTTATAATATCAAGCTACCATAAATGAATCTGCAAATTTTACAAATCGATTTGCATTTTAGCTTGAGGCAAGACAAATAAACAAATATCACAGACATGTTAGGTATCCTAAAATATGATTTTATTAATAATCTTCCTCCTTTCTTTGTACATGTTGAGTAGACTACACTTTTTAGGTCAAACATTTGCTATTTGCATTTCATCGATTGCAAAGTTCAAATCAGAACGAGAATACTAGCGATAGCTAACCATCAAAAACTAGAATATCGTTTACTAGCTACCAGATTGATAATTCGCTACTACTCTAGCGAATTAGAGAGGTTAGAGAGAGGCATTCTTTTTTCGATGGGGGGTTCGATGCTCCCTGCACACGCAAGGTCTCTCGCTCGCTTTCTCTCTCTGCCGTCCGCGCGCGTTGGAGCACAGTCTCTGTCTCGCGTGCGCGCTCGCTCTAGATTCCGGGAGATTTGAACTAATTTGCGGTATAACTTGTCGATCACGAGTGGCTCAACAGGTAGATCTATAGATAAACTCATCTTTCAGGCATTTGACCGACCGGGTTGACAATTTAGCGTGAGAAACCGGGGGTGTGGCGTGTGAGCGTGTGAAACCAATCAAATGCGGGTGTCTCACGGCCAATGCGTGAGTTGGCAGCTCTGCAATGTTGATCCTCGTTCTGCCTTTAACGCGATCACTTTCTCTTTTTCTCTTATTGCTTTGCTCCGATAAAACCTTTGCTTGCTTGTTTTTCTGTGCTGCTTCGGCCATGACTATAACATTTGGCTCGCAAGTCCGATTTTAAGGAAGTGGGGGTGGTGGTGGAAGTGACGTATATGCCGTAAAGCAGTCGAATTTTGTAGTTCTCTTTGTTCGCCGGTTACTACCCGAAACCCGAAGTTTAAAAGTATGATTAAAAACGCTACAGACCCCGTCAGGCTATGGCAGACGTGTCATTCAACCTATTGTAAGTCGATGTACCATCACAAGAAACTTGGAAATATATTATGAAGGTTGAAAAGTTACCTGTTGTTACTTTAAATAATCCTAACAAACATTAAAAAACACGTTTCATTTAAATACATACAAAAGTACAAGAACAAAACGTGAAGAACAAAAAAAAAAACTGCTGAATTTCACAGTAGTGAAATTTGTCTAGCACCTGTTGTGACCTTGTGCAACCTGGTAGATCAGAGCCAAGGTCTCAAACACACACGTAAGCTCTGTTCCAAAAACTAGCCAGCATTTCAAGGTCAATTTCCTTATTGGAGTAGCATAAAACTCAAAAAAGACAAAAGTTGTTGTCACTAGTGAGGTTTCATTCAGTTAGGATACTTAGAAGGCAGCTCCCCATGTAGGCAGTAGGCAACTCAGTATGCTTCGAGTCTCTCATGCATATGCAGTGTCACTCTCGGCCATGGGGTTATTTTATGAAATACAAACTTAAAATGTCACATTTTATGACCACATCCTAACTGTAAAACTGTAAACTCCTATAAATTGTATCCAGATTTTAATTATGAGATTTGGACTGTGATGTTTGTTACAAAATTTGTTGCTATTATTCCTAAATTCTGTGAAACAAAAAGGGCCTGTCAATCTATGGGGTATGTTTGCATACTGCCTCTATTGCACAATATGAAAACTACAATAATTACAAAAATTACAATTTATTATTGAATTGTCTCATACTTGATGACAAATGAATAAGATATACAAGCACAGAGACTCAAGAGTAGCATGTTTGAGTGCGACAACTGTGGCACTGCAGCACCATCAGACAGGAAAAAAACAAGCATCAAGTTCAACTTTTAAAAAACGCGTCTCTAGACCTTGTTTTTGTCCACTTCACTGACCGTTCACTGGTCGTTTTTTAAACACAAAAAAGTGTGAACTGTGTGAATGATCCCTAAAATATGATTAGACACATACATGACATTTACACAAATTCGCCTAGTTTTACATAAAATACATAAACCCTAATGAGAAAAATTACTCAAATGGGTCACTTATCAACTTGGCTGCTCGACTGCATTTAGATGGCTCTTTATGAATTAAATAACACACGCTACTTCAGCTCTTTTCCAAAACCTAGTGAGCTGCCTACGTAGGCAGAATGATTGATTATACTGTACAACCTTTATGTCTTCTTTTGCTGCAGATGCAGAGAATGAGAACTACAATAATGCATTGCATAATCTATTATTATATGCACGCATAATGCAAGGATATGGCTTAAACAGTTGAGTATGGCACTAGCAAAGCCAAGATCATGGGGTTCGATACAGTGAATGCATACCAAATGCATACATGTAAATTAATTGCAACAAGCTCAGAAAAAAATAAGCTGATGGATGAAATAACAGAGATAAAAATGATTAAAAATATGTAATCCTTTCAATTCGCCTTTGGCTAAGCCCCGCCCCCCTTAGTTATAGATAAACTTCATCTGGGCTCTGGTATCAACATGGCTTATGCTGTGACAGCTCTTCCTGCTGAAATTTTTTCAAACTTTTATAAAGCAGCAAATAAAGTGTCCGATAGAAGTAGGCAAAAGGGGCTGCAAAATACGTTCGAAGGCTATATTTACGACATAGGTGAAACGCAAGGAACAACAAGGCATCCAAATAGAGGCAAAAGCATACAGTCACAGTCAGAAAATGAACTACCGCATATCCTACTAATCGAGACGGAGGCTGGAACTAACAATATCAAGGAGCAACACTGTTCATGCAAAGCTGGGTAGGTCTCTATTCACTTCTATAATCGTTATTACAAAGCAAACGGATTGTATTTATTAGCAGCGTGTGCTAGACGACACTTGTCAGGATTTGACTTCGGTTTTGGGAAGGGAAAAAAACGCACACCCCCCTCCAACCTCTCTGGGAAACGCGTATCTGTGTTACAAATCCCCCAGGCACAACGTTTAACCATATTTTTGATAAAACTACGACGGTAATAGCCTGCCGAGACCAAAAATATGAGACGCCTGTGTTAAAGTCAATGGAGCGCTGTGAAAAAGTGTCGGACCACTGTGGGAGTTCGTTCTCGGCTGCGCTGTGATTGGTCAATCTACATTCTAGGGTGTGGCTTAGCCAAAGGCGAATACCTAAATATATCAGCAAAAATAGTTCAGCTTAATAAACAATGGACTATTTTATCTAACATTTGTGTTTTTTTTTAATGTCTAGCAGTATTGCATTGTTAGCTTAGCAACAGGTTCATTTTAAACTCTATTGCAACCATTTTTAAGGGGAAAGGCAGATCACTAGGTTTTGGTTACAGAGCCAACAGACAAGTTATTATTATTCTCAGAAATAAAAGCAAAAACAAGATAAAAGATAACTGATCCGAGTCTGAAAAAAAAAAGTCCATCAGTTATTGGCCAACCAGTGGCCTTAAGAAAGCAATCACAGCTGGTAATCTGGAGAAATGAGCCAGTATGCTGGAGAAGTCACTTCCAGGGACTAAAAGGGTGGATTACAGCAAAACATGACAAAACAAGAAACCTTCAAGTCCAAAAACAAGAAACAAACGTAATGCAAGTACGCAAACGCTTGGCGAACACACTACTAACCTCAGTGCCTTCAAAAGTTTGCATAGTGTGTTCTGCTTGAAAATATCTGTTCCACTGCTTTCAGGCTGCTTTTAATTTCACATAATAACATTTTCAAATATAAAACATATTATTCTTGACAGTACAAACAGGAAAGGCAAAAATAAACCTCTGTGTGTTGTTCTCAAGTCTTGGGGGGCATTTTGTTGGTGTAAAAGTCTCTGCAGGTCTGGCAGCAGCGTTGGTACCAGCGCATGTCCTGGCACAGGTTCTTATCACGGATCACCCTGCAGTAAACCGCCCACTGATCCCCCGTGCACTTGTACGTCAATGCAGCTGCCAGGGATGACAGAAGGACAGGACTCGGCATTTCATAGATTCAATTATATCACATGATCCCTGACAACATGCATACATCAGTCCAGACATGTAAATGTGTAAGTTCACCTAGAAGACAACTTACGCAATATTCAATGTTGCTGTTATACACTATAAAAATGATTTTTTTTTTGAATTTGTAAATAAAACAAAGATCACTGGAGTATGTTTTACAAAAAAATACTATTTTAGTCTCTCTACTCCAAACATTTCACATTTAAATTAATGTTACCTGCCGATTTGTAAACACTTTACAATAAGGTTTTCCTAGTTAACATTTAGTTAAGTAAATTTTTGACGTAAGTGTGTTTCCTCAGTACGGTAACACAAAAGTGTTGTTTGCATTTTCCCCACGATGCGGTCAGAGCTGGAGTTTGACTCCCAACACATGGAAAATATGAATGTAACAATTAATATGCAACAACATGTGGGTTCTGCAAAGAACGCAGGGATGAGTTTAGCAACGCGGGTCACAGTACATATCTGGACTGTGTTTTGAGTTTTTATGGGCATATTTCATATACTCTAGTGCTCAAAACATGAACAAGCACCATGGATACACACATATTTCATCACGTCTTCTTCAAATGAAATATATATATGCAAATAAAGACACTGATACAGTGGTGCGTCTGATCATGAACACATTGACTGGATAATTCTGATACAATGATGTAGACCAAAAATTTCTAAGAAGAATGAACAAAAAAGTAACTATGCCTTTATTCTTTCTGTTAAACGGATGCGTGTCAGTTGTTCAGTGATTTTAGTGCTCATAAATGTAATGGAAATATTATTAGACCTTTTAGATGTTCTTCCTTATTTTAAAATACAGACCGATAGCTCTGCAAAGTTGTAATGCTGATTTGTTGACATTTTGATAAGAATAATTTATCAGAATGTATTTGATTTGTTCATGATAGACGTTAGTAGTCTCTAATGATAAACTTTTTGTGGGTTTGTTGTCATAAGCCCTATTCGGAGGGTAATTGTTTCTCATGGAGACATAAGGTATTTTCAACATTTACAGGGGCTAGTCGGTATGTATATATTATACATTAAAAATAATAACCTAATAGATTTATGTTTACTTCTTGTAAATAGGAGGCAGCATTAACTTATTTCTGCTCATTTCCACTTTTTTTAAAGACATCCATCATTTCGAGAAATAAAATGCAAGACAGAAAAACATTCCAACTATTTTCCTATTTTTGAACAGGAGATTTAAATCATCAAATAATAAATAGGATATTATTATGAAATTAACTATGAATTTACTTGTATTATTCAGAGCATATTACATTTTATTTACAGCAGACAATCATGCATCTGAATTGCGAATAGGGCTATAGGGTTATATATTTAAAATACATCAAGGTGCCCCCAACTCTTGTTTTTCTTTCTCCGCTCATATTTTAATATTCATTTCTCTGTTTAATGAATGTGTTGTAGGTCTGTTTTTATTGGTTGTTTCATTTATTGAGTCTTTTTCAAGTCTGAGGTGTGAACAACCAGTGCTAAAACATGAGGTTTTCATGACACTTTAATATAAACAATGAACAATACTTCTACAGCCTTTAATCTTCTTAGTCAATGTTAATTTCAAAATTTACTAAAACTTTTTAAAAAACAAAAGTATTTGTTAACATTAGTTAATGCACTGAGAACTAACATGAACAATGAAATATATATTTTTTATATATAATATATATATATTTAACAATAACAAAGATGACAAATCAGTTTATGTTGGCTAATGTGAACACGAGACCTTATTGTAAAGTGTTACTGCTGAGTCTTTGTAATTATTTGTACTAGCAATTTCTGAGTGAACATTGTTTCAGAGTAAATCCTATACCTTTTATTTTAGTGTAGAAGGACATTCGGCATATATACACATTTAGAGAGTATGTGAATCTACTCTTATTTAGATGTTTTTCAGATTATTTGAACGTGATGCTTTCCAGATGATGCTTCTTTTGACAGATGTCTTGGCAATGAAATGTTTATGCAGTACAATGAAATGTTTATTGCTTAAAGCAAAGAAAGGCTCTTTTCCAAAACCTAGTGAGCTATTTACTGCCCACAGTACAATTAAGGCAGCATCTAAATGAAATGGAAATGGACTAATTTGGATCACTCGACATAGGCGAGATGAAGTCAATTTAAAATATAATGAGGAATTGGAATTGCCTTTGCATCAGAAGTGCACATGATGTCTAAATGTGCAGCATGCTATTATTTGGAACACAGGGAAGATTTTTTTTTGTATGTATATTAGGGCTGGGTACCGAGTTCGGTACTTTTTAGGTACCGACCGAATTGCCTCGATACTACCGAGTATCGAAACATGTCTTGTTTTTCGGAACCAAATTTCGGTACCTAAGTAGTTAATCTCGTCAACGTCAGTGAAACAATAAGCATTCAGTATGATTGGCTGTGGCGGAAAAACGTCTCGGTTACGGATGTAACCCTCGTTCCCTGAGTAGGGAACGGAGACGTTCCGTCGGATGACGACGAATGGGGTTTCGCTTAGAAAGCCTATCGACTTCGAGTATACAAAAACGAGCCAATGGCAAAGAAATGCCATGGGTCTGCGGAATTTGCATAGCGTAACTCCGCCTCACCTCGTGGGCATTTAAGGAGAACGCTGGCAGCAAATAGGCATGTTTCTTCGCTGAGGAGCCAAGACTGAGCTCAGGCGATCCCCACGGTACAGCGGAAAGTGGCAGGAAGACGGAACGTCTCTGTTCCCTACTCAGGGAACGAGGGTTACATCCGTAACCGAGACGTTCCCTTTCGTTGTCACTCCGAGTTCCGTCGGATGACGACGAATGGGGATACCAGTCTAATCACGCCACCTTCTCAGCTGTCTTCCAGTGCCCTGCGTAATTCTGAGATCCCTGTCGTGAGACTAGCACGGACGAAGGACTCCTATTTAGCACAGGAAATACACATGTGGGGGTAGCTCAGAGGAGGTACCATGCACACGGAAGGCACCTAGCCGACGCGCAGGCAATAGACACTGGAGCCAGCGTCAGCAGTGCTGGAGGAGCTCAGGGCTTTCGGGGAAGCTCACCTGAGGAGAATATTGCACGTATCCAGTCCGTGGAGTGGCATGGCGAGCAAGCGAAGACACCTAACGGATCCCATGTTAGCTTGAAAAAGACAGTACACGGGAGGAGACGGGCTCCACTCGGAGATTGTAAAATCTGGCGAATGTGTTAGGTGTCGCCCAGCCTGCAGCTCTGCAGATGTCTGTTAGCGAGGCGCCATGCGCTAAAGCCCAAGAGGACGCCACACTCCGGGTGGAGTGGGCGGTCACACCAAGGGGGCACGGTCGACCTTGCTGCTGGTATGCCAAAGCAATGGCGTCCACTATCCAGTGAGACAACCTTTGCTTGGAGAGAGCCTTTCCCTTCAGCTTCCCACCATAACAGACAAAGAGCTGGTCTGAGGTCCTGAAACACTGCGTTCTGTCTACATAGATGCGAAGAGCACGTACTGGACAGAGCAGTGCCAAGGCTGGGTCTGCCTCCTCCGGGGGCAGCGCTTGCAGGTACACCACCTGGTCCCGGAAGGGAGTGGTAGGAACCTTGGGCACATATCCAGGCCGGGGTCTCAGGATCACGTGAGAGTCACCCGGCCCGAATGCCAAGCACGCTTCGTCAACGGAGAATGCGTGCAGGTCCCCTACCCTCTTGATGGAGGCCAATGCAGTCAGAAGCGCTGTCTTCATTGACAGGAAGTTAAGCTCGACTGACTGCAAAGGCTCAAAGGGAGCGCTGCGCAGGGCAGTTAAGACCACTGCGAGGTCCCAAGAGGGTACGAGAGGAGGGCGAGGAGGATTCAGTCTCCTCGCTCCTCTCAGGAACCTGATGATCAGGTCATGCTTCCCCACAGACTTACCTTCTATCGGGTCAAGATGTGCGGCAATGGCGGCGACATAGACCTTGAGGGTGGAGGGAGACAGCCTTCGCTCCAACCCTTCTTGAAGAAAGGAAAGCAGTACACTGATCGAACATCTCCGGGGGTCTTCTCGGTGAGAAGAGCACCAGTTGACGAAGAGGTTCCACTTCAGCGCATAGACGTGTCTCGTGGACGACGCTCTAGCGGAAGTGATGGTAGCCACCACCGCTGGTGGTAGGGTACTCAAACCTGCCTCGTCCCGTCCAGGAGCCACACGTGGAGGTTCCAAAGATCGGGACGAGGGTGCCACAGGGTGCCCCGTCCCTGAGAAAGGAGGTCCTTCCTCAGAGGAATCGGCCAAGGAGGTGCTGTCGCGAGGAGTATGAGTTCGGAGAACCAGGTCCGGGTGGGCCAGTACGGCGCGACCAGAGTGACCTGCTCCTCGTCCTCCCTGACCTTGCGCAGGAATTGCGCAAGAAGGCTCACTGGGGGAAACGCATATTTGCGGCCCCGCGGCCAGCTGTGCGCCAGTGCATCCGTGCCGAGCGTGCCCTGGGTCAGGGAATAATACAGGGCGCAATGGGTCGAGTCGTGGGAGGCAAACAGATCTATCTGTGCGTCCCCGAACTGGTCCCAAATCAGCTGAACCGACTGGGGATGGAGTCGCCAATCTCCCGGGAGGGGCTGAAGCCGTGAGAGCTCGTTGGCTGCACAGTTCAGGGCTCCGGGGATATAAATGGCACGAAGCGACCTCAGATGCTTCTGACTCCATAAGAGGAGGTGGCGGGCGAGTTGCGACATACGGCGGGAGCGCAGACCACCTTGACGGTTGATGTACGCTACGGTCGCGGTATAGTCTGAACGGACTAGTACATGCTGGCCCCTGAGCACGGCTCGGAAGCGGCGCAGGGCGAGCTGTACAGCCAGCAACTCGAGGCAATTGACGTGCCATAGGCGGTGGGGTCCTGTCCAGGAGCCCGCGGCAGCACGTCAATTGCACATGGCACCCCAGCCCGTGGTAGAGGCATCTGTCGTTACAACAATATGCC